CATCATCGACAGAGGTTCGGTCATTTTTAAAACGTGAATGCCACACAAACGTTTGTGCACGACCCATTGCGGACTCCCCAAATGCTTGCTTTAGGATTTCATAGGTTTCCGTAGCCGTTTTGGCGAGTCTTTGGCAAAATTTGATGCACACGCGCCATTCCGAAATCGCAGGAGGGTCGGTGTAATGCACTACCAAAACGCCCGTAACTAAGAAACAAATGCTAATTCGATGATGCCGGCTGGCACACTGATTCACTATGAATGTAGGCCGCACCCCCTAGCGGTAGAAGCTCGTACTACATCCGGTTCGCCCTCTATTGACACAGTCTTGAAACTTTCCGATCGTACCTCATACAGTTTTTTGCCCAAAACTTTGGCTAACACCAGTATTTGAAATTAATAAAACCAGCGGCGAAATCCAACAGACAAGAAGATTTTAATATTGAAACAACTTTCAGCGAAGTTGGTTCCGGCAGAATTGAATGTCACTGCATCAATTACAATAAATTTCCCTACGAAATTAACATGTAATCTACCTCCAAATGACGTAATAAATAGGCTAGTTTCTTGTCTTCATCACATCCTTAAGTGTAGGATTATATTTTATTAACTCTAACGTCCACGAAGGACCTTGGCCTCCACACATACAGCGGGTATTTTAATCTATTTAGACATTTGGTAAGAGTCCTCGGACAAGTGTTAAGCCCGTCCCAAGACCTCTGCACAACACAGACAGACGCTAAGAGACGTCCATGCGCGGTCACTGTGGTCGGCGTTAAGTCCAACTCCAGAATGTGTACTTGGTAGCTACGCCATGACATGGCCTTTCCGCTAAGCGAGGTCACTCCATTGGTTAACTCATTTTCTAGTCGATCAGTTGCGGTGATAAATGCAGGTACATCATAGAGTTAAGTTTACTTACGAATGCTGAAAACCGTCTCCAATGTTATGTTTGCATCGCCCACAAATTGCAAACAGAATCGGATAATATTCGTACCAACTTGTCTCCTGCTGTTATAGCTAAAGGACATTTAAACATTATCTTTTTTTTTTTAAATTAAATACATACCTCGGAGATATTGCGGGTTCGGTTCCAGACTACCGCAATAAAGCGAGTCACGATTTTGTTTGGTTTCCCGGTGCATATAAAAGTTATGTTTATACTATACTGTAGTATATTAACAGATATAATAATGAAAAGTTTTAAAATATTACGAGAATTACCAAAATGTGACGGAGAGACACGAAGTGAGCTCATGCTGTTGGAAAAATGGCGCCGATAGACTTGCTCGACGCAGGGTTGCCACAACCCTTCAATTTGTAAAAAAAACACAATATCTGCTAAGCGCAATAAAACGAGGTATGGCTGTATTTTTCCGTGTGTTGGATGATTTGATGGAAGTACCAAAGTTACTGAAGATACGAGTCACAGAAATTACGTTAGGCATATGAATCATGTGACAGCATTTAGAGCAGATCTTATGTTTCGTAAAGTCACAGCTTCAGTAATTTTCGTGGTCCCTATTGATACCTCCTTTCCTGTTTTCTAAGGCATTGAGGAGACAGGCAACTTTTTCAATGAACCTGGAGGCAAAGAATTTATCTATCTGAGCGTAATTTTACCTTCTCAAGGACTTTGATCAATGGTCTTTGTCTACAGATACGCTGATTATTCTGTCATTAATTGGCAATATTAAGAACGGTATTTGGGGAATCGAACCCAGGATAAATTTCTTCTGATGCAACCGAAGACGTTTCAAGACCGTGCCCAGTGTATCCTAAAAATATCCTCACTTTAACACAGTCCTTGTTCAAAGCCGATAGGCGTTTATTCCATCAAAAAATGTTCAGAATTTTATGGAATCTGGAGGTTCGTAACATTGTTCACAAAATCGTGCCTGCCGACACTATCCTAAACCAGATGAGTTTAGTCCAAAACCGGGAATCTCGTTAAAGTACAACTTGTTTGCTTGTCTTTAAGTTTAATGGACCACATTTTGACAAGCGATTGCAGGAAGTGAAGATTAATTAAGTTTTCCTTTGCTGTCAATTAATAATACTTTGATTTACGCTTCTAATTGAGATGGAATTTGTAATCTTGGCACACTGACTCCGTCTCCTACATAGGCGAAAAATACCGCGGTTCGGGGTAACTGCATTGATTTCTCTACGAAGAAATAAAATATAAATGAAATTTGTTTTCAAACCATTTATTAATAGCGTTTTTATTAACTAACGATAGGCCTGTTCTGGTTAGAACATACACAGTCTAACAAATTTACAAACTTCTATGTAACTTTAAAATTCGGCACTCGACTTTTATCAATAAAACATAAATATGGCTTAGTCATAATAATAACATTAATAATAGTACCAATAATAATAATAATAATTCATATAATTATTTTATCTGCGCTCCTAAGCTCTTAATATATATGCGAAATTCAAAGCTCTTATTAAATATACACATTTTAATCTATATTTGTTAATAAATAATATAGATTTTAACATTTATCTTACACAGAATTTAGTACAATATAATTTCCTAACCCTGCAAGAGAGACAAATACAAAATGACAAATTACTAACGAAACTTAATTATTGTTTATTAATATAGTTTAGAGACAGATAATATAAAATATATCAATGACCCTACACATCACACAAGATAACTTAAGACGCTATTAGAAACCGTAGTGTATGTGTTGAAGATGTCAATTAAGATTTCTTGTCACAATTTGTTAAACTGGCTGTTGTCAGCGAGAGAACTGGTATTTTAAGTAGATGACTCCTATCGATGACTTCTGCACACTGCCTGGATTTTTTAATGCATCATTCTTACAAATGGAAAGTTTCGGGGATAGAAATATTAGCCCCATGTAATGGATCGAATAGCGGAGTTAATTTCCGAAACATTTTATATAGACCCATAATATAAACCTGGGCGATGGAAATGTCCAAATGGTGCCAGTTTAAGCTTTGAAATAGTTTTTAATTGATTACCACACGAAGTGACAAACTGTTTATTCGTCCCACACTTTAATGTTTTATCAAATACAGACGCTAATTACCAAATTATAGGCCTGAGCGTTTAAATTATACGTCAAATTTTGTGATCAAAACTTCTGTGGTTAATCAACCATTAATACGTCAGTGAGTTAATTAGTGTGATTGTCGTGATTTATTAATGATTCTGTGTACTATTATTATTTAGTGTTCTGTCTGACGACAGGTCCATATGAACAGGATCCTTCCATCCTTTTCTCCGACTGGGACCTGTTCATATACGTTCTTGGCAGATGATCCAGAAGTGGTTTGCCATTGCCTTCTTCTGTGTGTGAACGGAGTAATTGTTGGGATGCCACGGAGGAAAACCACCCATGAAGTTGAAAATCCAACAGGCAGAAAACCACACGGAAGATGCAACCATAACCAGTAGAATGCACCAAATAGTGCTTGTGGTTCAGAGTGTGTTACCTTAGACCAACAATTTCCATAGTCACTTATCAACGTAATCTTTCTCAGGTGTTATTTCGTCACTGATCTGTGTTGTCGGGAGTCAGAAGTTGTACTTGGGACCTGCCTAAATTTGCCATTACAGCCTTGTCCTATTTGATGATGAATTTAAAATATATATCTAGGCATAAGTCCACTGATGAACGTCTATAGTTTGACACTGACCAGTCACAAAAATTATGTGCTTAGAACTCTGTGGAAGTACAGTGTGTTTACTGTTAAAGTTGAACGCAGTTGTCACTCCACGGCTCTCGGCTAGAACTGTATGACTCTCACGGTTTCCCGATACAAGTAAAGTTTCGCTTCATAGTAGTTCTTGCCGCGAGGCGCGAACTGATACTTGTGTTTATTATTATCAGTAAACGCACTGTATACGCAATTTAGAATTTAAAATGTTTAAATAATTAATTTTAAACATAATACGAGCAGTGTTCATTTTACCTACTGTCTTGGTGATACATCAATCTTTCATACAAACTATATAAAGTATTTTAAGTTTTATCAGGTAATAAATTGAGTTTTCTTTAATTTATTTCATTCTAAAGTGTGTTGTAAATAATAAGTAATCCATTCCAGTTTTAGTGTGAAAAGTGCAAGGAACTGTAATGCTACAAATGTAATAGGGGATTTTTGAGATTTGTTTTAGCAAAAACAATGTTTTCGTTGACGATACATTCTCTGTCATTGGAAGGTGTTGAGATTATTTTTGTCCTTTCCTGTTAAACTTTTTTTTTTAATTTGCCTGATGTCAAAGGTTTCTTGGTGTTGGTAAATCTTTGATAACGAAAATGAATTATTTGAAAGACGAAAGTAATATTAATTGCTTCAAATAATTCTCATTAAAAGCTTAACATAAAACCAAGGTACGTAAATAATTCAAATTACGTATCTACATTCTTTTTTGTTTTTGTAATGTGTTAAATTCTTCTGGGCGTAAACGTTAATTACTTCTTTATGTCTTTTAACAAGCATTTTCTTTCTTTTTATAAGAAATCAGCTTTTGGTTCCATCCCTTCTTTTGTCGGGAATAATCCTTTGCCCTGCTTTATCCATTCTATGAATATTAATACCAGGCATTGATGAAGTCATTAGAATAATTAGATAAGGTCCTTTTATATTTTTTATCATAGCCCATCAAAATGAATAATGTTAACGGGACATGATAATAAATTAAAATTTCTTTTGAAGTGATTAAAGAAAACTGATAGTATTTCACTGAAGTATAATTTAAAATAAGATTTTTGCAGTATATGCCAAATATATAATTTCTGGACACCATTCTATTACAACCAACTGCAACTAATCTTAGTTCAAACCCGCTAATATTTTCGAAGAAACTGCGAATTAATTATTTTAAAAAATGTGGAAGTACATTGCATTTTATTGTATAAATGTTTAATATTCAGCCCTGAATTTTTAACTTTGCGTCAGTAAATATACAATAAACCATGGAGGGATTTTTTTAATTTTTATGAATTGTCTTTTATATTTCAATGTTCAAGATTCAGAAATCCTGAAATTAGTATAATAAAGCCATTCACATTTTTCTAACGTTTGCTAAACACGACTTGGTAGACGCATAGAATAAGTAATTACACTTCTCCTCAATTGGAATGCTGTTGTCTGTACAAATTTTTTATTACGCTCTTATTGGTGATAATGTTTCGACTCGTGGATGGTGTTTTGTTTGGGAGAGTCCTTGTACATGACACGTACTAGCTAGACCTACGAGCTAGACCAAATTTCCCAGGATTATAACACATTGCTACTCCTGAAATATATTGTGGAGTCATATTGCCACAAGGTTAATGCTGTATCATTTTACATTGCTACACATGAAGTACAGTACTTCACATCACGTTCTGAATCAGGGTATTTTCATCCACAACTCAAACTCAGATGTTTTTTTTTTTTCCAAGCTTGTTCTTATTCGCATTATTTTGAAATATTTTTCACGCAACTTCAAAATTTGTGACACAGCCGCTAAGGTAAGGGATTCAGAAACTGTGATATAAATTGTAGCAAACGGAAAGTAATATAATTCCGTATGGCTGTCTTTGCTAAGTATTAGGAAAAGCTACATAATAATATCTGGCATAATAATTGTCATTTTCCACTTTAGTGTTCTCTAAAACCTACACAGACTGTACCAGAAATAATGTGCTCATTTCTATTGTATAATAATTCTAAATAAAATTTCTCATTGGCATGGCATTTCAACGTAATATAATGTTGATGTCAATAAGATTGTTTTTGGTACACTAACTCTATGGAAGTAACACTAATACGAAAGCATACTATCGAAAATTATTCCGACTTAAGTACATGAATCGACTATCGTCATAACATATTTACCTGAGATTCTTCTTAATATTTTCCCTTCATAACCTCAGTTTTCCAAGCGGTGGTATTTCGAATGGTTTCGTACCAAAATTTCTTTACGTATTCCACATCACTCCTAACCTAAATAAATTTCCGGGTAAACGTAATAGCCTCTCGCATCTTAAAAAGTGCAAAAAATACAAAGTTCTTTATTTCTTTACGTATTGGTGTGGAAGGCTGAACGTGAGAGTAAAGCAGATTTTCAAAATCTGTTTTAAAAATACCTCGCACAGGGGGACAATTTTATAATTTTGGTTGTATAATTACTTATTTGTTGTACAAGGAATTTGTTACTTACACAGACATTTCGAATAAGATTGAAATAATGAAGTTCATTTTAAATTTAATATATTCCGGTTAATACTGTAATTTATGACAAACATTAAAGAGTGCACTGGTACTTGTACATTTTGCGTGGTGCAGATGACCTGGACTTTGAGTTTGCATGTGATAGTACATCGAACAACACAATACATGACATTCAACATAATCTTTGATAACACAGAAAATAGGCGTTTTACCACTATTCAACTCTATTACTTTTTTTGCAATTATTAATGCACACATTTTCTGTATCAAAGTGGCTAATTATAAAATTACATGAATAGCCAATTGAATTTTCTCCTTAACCTAACAAGACGTGACATATAATGCTTATATTGAAAGAATATATATCTCTATTGAGCCAATATCGTTCAATTTTAACACATAATTTCTTCCATAGACGAATTTTATTTCACTAACAGGATTGTGGTAAATTTCTGTACAATTTATATTAAATTAAATACAGTTATTTCAGCGGGGCCTATTTAATGAGCGGTGTGATAAACATTTACAATGTGTACACTAAAGGTTATATGAATATTATCCTGTTCTTCATAGATTAAGATACATTTTATATATGATAAATGACCACATTTTTCATTTTAATCCCCGCAAAAATCTCAAATATTAACGGTCAAATTCTGCGGTTTTGAAACATAAATTATGAATGACTGAATGTTAAATATATTTTTCAAAAAATAGTCTGTAAGGAACTGCAGTCATTTTAAGTGTTGAAATAATATTTTGAACTTGATTTTAATCACGGAACAAAACTTGAGGACATTTTAAATCTATTTACGTCTGACACTTTCTTTTTATATAGAAACAGATTTTGATCTCTTACAATTACGTGTTTTCTCACTGCAAGATGAACGGGTCATTTACAACATAAATATCAAACACTGTTTTAACTTAACATGCATTATATCAAACATTCAATAAAAATTGCAACACTTCATATTAACATTTGTTTTAAACAAATATAATACTGATTTGGTAATATTTAAAACGTTACCCTCCAACCAACATAACTTACTATGTTACAGTTCTTCAGACTAGATTTAAAAATTACACTTTAAATTAATTTATTCTAGATCTATGCACAGCATTGGTTCCACACTTCATGTACTGTTACTACGATCAAACATGACTTATGACGTCACACAATTGATCCAGACCCTGGAAGAGGTTTCCAGCTTTCCTTACATCCTTAAAACGGATACAGTTCTGTCTGTAAGACCAAATATAAGCAGGATTTTCTTACTATGACAATATATCATAGCTATTTATAAAGGAATGTTACCACGGATTAAATTTATTATAACAGTGGCAAATATTGAACATCATTCTAAGTTAAATATGTTATTATTTATAAATAGGTTGTATTGTTTTACGTTAATCTCGCGTAAAATGGGTTGAGCTGTGTTTAATGAATAGTTTTCTGAATCCTAATGTGTCCACGAATATTTTGCATCTGTCCGTTTTCATGCTGTTAATTTTACAGTGATTATTTAACCTTCCTGCAGTGCATACCCACACAGAAATACATTCACACGCACAGAAAGACATTGGCCGGCCCACAAAATATTACAGAGGTTACAGAAAACACATTCTCCAAGTTCATTAACTTCTCTTGTAGGTTGAGGACTTCTTTGGTTCATCCCACCATGAATTCTCAGCGTCCATTCAGTTGACTGCTGCGCTATCTGCAGGCCACCACCAACACCATGCATAGAATCATGAACAACCCAGGCATTGAGACTTCCAGTCTTATGCTGCCATCTATAAAGAAATTAAACCGTTAGTATCTGAAAACAAAAGAAAAATGTATACAGGCATACCTCTTTTTTTATATACAAATTGAAGGCTTGTGGCAACCCTGCGTCGAGCAAGTCTACCGGCGCCATTTTTCCAACAGCATGTGCTCACTTCGTGTCTCTGAAAAAGTGATATTCTAATGTAAATCGAACATTTCGATAGAGAACATCATTTAATATATTTTAAATATTTAAATGTTAATTATAGTAATATTTTAATATTTAATAGGAATTTTATTGTGATTAGACTGACAAGATTTAAACAAATATATATTTATCACAATATGACGCAACTTTATCATCTCATAGTTCTCATACTTCTTAATATATAATTTTTATTATCAAATTTTTGGAAATCTGTTAATTAAGAATGTGGGTTTTAACTTTTAATTGTGAATTTTCAAACCAAACACAATAGGTCAGTAGTAAAACATTAACCTTAAAATTTCATTTAAAAATACAGACGAAGAAAAATTGATAGTAAGAAAATACAATTTTAATATTATCGCTTTCCAACATTAATGCAGAAATGTTTGTTCTTGAAGGTGCCACCTTATTCAGTAATTTCTGGAAGCGACTAGCAGCTGGTATGAGAAATATACCATTTGAAGTTAATTAACGTTGTGACGTTCCGCTTACATTTATACAAAACTTTCTGATCATTCATTTTATGCGCCTTCGTATCCCTTTTAAACCCCTCCGTTCTTCATGTTCGTGAAATTTAATTCGGCGAAGTTCTGCAAAAAATATCGAACCATTTCAATTTTTAATCTGATCGAAGAATATTTAACAACCGCTACATAAGAACATTTCTTTATGCAATATTATAAAGCAACTGATCCTTGTAATGGCGAAGACCTTGTTTTTCTTGAAGTAGAAACTGAACCTTCTGGTTGTCATGACGCCAGACCTACCAACTGCTGCTCTTTGAAATTGTGACGTGCTACGACGTCTTTGAGATACGAACTAAATGTTAGGTTGAAACGTCATTAAATAATCTATTCTGATTATGGCCCTTGTTCGTTCGCCCGGTCATTTTTAAAAAAAAACACGTCAAAATTTATAATTCAGGAATTTAAAATCTGGAGAAGAATTGTTACGATGTGCATGCATTCCCTAACTTGTTAGTACCAATAACTTATTGCAGTTTTTTCATCAAAACTTTAAAAAAAAATCTTTAGCGCTGTCACAGAAATTTCGGAACATTAGAGTTTTTTTTTTGTAAAAAAAAATCTCTGAAGTAAATTAAAACCTAACAACACACAGAAACACTTCATGTGCAGGTTTTACTGGCGGATGAATACATTCACTAACAAGAGAGATGACGCTCAACTGCAAAGACGTGACTGTGAATATTTCTGGCACTAATTTTCAGACTCACGGACAGCATCCTCCATCACACATATTTACTACCTTCACATAATGATTAAAGTTCATACTCTATTCGTTTTGTCTACCTAGAAAATTACATTTCTCTCACACAAGATCATTACACATAACTCTCGGGGTTTAAACCTTTTGAAGGAACCTTTTTCCCCAACCGAACAGTATCATTTCTCTTTACTTAACTTTCAGACCATAAACTATAATAATCCACTTCGCACCTTTTACATAATTGCAACAGGCTTATTTATTGCAATAGTCTCTGAGGGCTTATAAGGTCGGATTACGCTACAGCGACCGGCGTCCTCTTCGCTGGTTGCCACAAGGGAGACCCAGCCCACAGAGTTACTATTGACCAAGACCGTAATTTATAACAATAATTTATAAGATTAAAATATTTGCATTTCGCATTCAGCAGCGCCGAATGTACAGATGATGGCAGTTAGAAATTCCGTTTTTATACAGAAATCCCAGAATCGAACCTCATACCGCCTAACGATTATCCGAATTTAGGTTTGCTTGCATTTTCCTTAGAACCCAAATGCAAATGGTAACATATCAACTACAAATAAACCAGGTTTTGAAATATACAGTTCATCATTCAGTGACTTTCACTCCAAGCCAAATAATCTTTGTGGACTGTTAATAAGAATTTTCTTTGTAGAAACAGTGAATAACGCCGAGAATTTAAGGCTTTCATGAATTAAATTTGTGATAATTTTTCCGCGAGCAAAATGGTTTACTACAAATTTATAAGAACATGAAAGGTTTCAAGTTTATGACGACCACTTTTGGTCTTTATGATTAAGATCCGAAATCTTCTAAGAAGAAATAGTCTATCAGCTTAGACGAAGTAACCCTAAGTAACCATTTTGATATCGATATACCACCTGTTAATATTTAACGGTTTCCGTACAGCAGAATATTTCTTTAGGAGCTAATAGTCTCAAGATTAAACTAAGACAAATAATCAGTCTAGATAATCTATCAAGAAAGTGTTACTCAAATGAGGCAATGCTTAAGCTAAACTCGTCTCAAAAATTCTTACAGCATTTGACTCACGTGACTTAATGACTAGGTTTGGAGTTTTTTTTATTTATTTAGTGTTCTGTCTGAGGACCGGTCCATATGAACAGGATCCTTCCCTCTTTTTCTCGGACTGGGCCCTGTTCATATACGTTCTTGGCAGATTATCCAGAAGTGGTTTGCCATTGCCTTCTTCTGTGTGTGAATGGAGTAATTGTTGGGATGCCACGGAGGAAAACTCCGTGTTGCCTAGACCACGGCCTTGCCCAACACAAGTTATAAATTCGGGCACCGCCGGAAATCGAACCCGATACCCCAGGATTACTAGGCCAGCGTTCTAACCGCTAGACCACCGTGGCTATCCAATAGTCTCTTAGATAGTCAATAAATTTCCCGCCTTTTATGTTACCCGAGAGTCATTATCGTGTTCACAGTTGTCACCATTGTGTCTACAATTAATTAAGACCACATCCTTGTACACTATTTTAATATTGCACTCGTCTGCGTATAGGTATTTAAATATTTCTCTTATGTTCAAGATTTCCAACCAAAATATCATATAAGTTGTCGTCTTTCCGATGCGTGCTGTGAAATATTATTTTATAGAATCGATTAAGAAACACTATCATTGCGGTTTGTTTAAAATGTTAGCTAAATTAGGTGCCAGACATCCACAATTGCATTTAAGGAATACCAGAAACTGTAACAGCTGATAGACGATTCAAAGGTGTTTACTGCCTCCATGATCAGGGTAATTATCGATTCTAAAACGACGTAAATTTCTACGAGATTACACGACGTTACAACACAAAATACGGTTATTATAATCTATTTATGATACTTAATGTTCGCTGCACAGAAATCTTTACTATTCCGTTGTAAAAGAAATGTCTTTATAATAATAACAATTTGTTAATAATTCTGGAAAGCAAGCATCATGTACCGAGGACAGTATGTGATATTTTACGAGGTTCGATCGGAAAGTTTTAAGACTGCGCCTATAAAAACCCGTACACTTATCTCAGGTATTAAATTCATCCATCACCCTCGAAGTAGTTCCCCTGGGAGTGAACACAACGATCCCAGCGCCGCTGCCAAGCCTGGAAGCATCCCTGGAAATCTTTCTTTGCCAGCCT